AATTATATATTAAAGACTAGGTAAACAATTTGTGGTTATATCTTGAGGTTATCTTGAGATGATTTCGGGGCTTTTTCAGTGTCCCCGCGGCCCGGTCCTAGACCAGGCCTCCACCCTCAGGAAGCAGCCCGTGACAGCTGACTAACACCCAGGTACCTAATTTACTGCTAGCTAACAGGAGCATAGGGTGAAAGAAACTCTGCCCATTGTTTCTCGCCGGCGCCTGGGATCGAACCAAGAACCACAGGATCACAAGTCCCGCGTGCTGTCCGCTCGGCCGACCGGCTCCCGTGGTTTATGAAGGATCCACCTCAAAGTGGTTTAAACTACAAATTGTCCCTCCCCCCAACTGTGTGTGATAAGTTCTAGCAGCTGAATTAGAATATACAGTCCACTAACTAAGAACTAACTCAGAAGAAAAATAATATAATATTCAAGTCACTTAAAAAATGAAATAATATAAATAATTAATATTTCATAAAATGAAAACGAATAAAAACTGCTGGGATTTTCCCACATCTCTAGTGTTCTGTTATTTTTATGGTTTCTCCACACCCTTGCACTTAGTTGCTTTGCTAGCTTACATCTCTGATTAAACCATGGGTTTTTTGTCTGCATTTAATTTTTTTCCTTTTGGACTGGAACGAACTTGTCTGCTTCCCCTTTACACTTCTGCGTAATGTAGTCCATCATGTCTTAGGTAGTCTTTCCTCTGAGCTCTGTTTCACAAGCTATATCTGTAAGAAATTTTCTTATCTCTTCAGTTTTCCTTCTGGAACACCGGCCTTTTGTTTTCTGGGCCCGTCCTTGAGTACTTTAACTCTACTTTGACTAGGTACTGAATCATCAGTACACTGTGATCACTCATTCCCACAGGTCCTTCGAAGCCGATTTTCCTTATGATTTAGTCGTTCAGAGTGAATACTAGGTCGAGTCTTCGCAGGTTGATCATTGCCCCTCATTCTTGTGTGTCCCCTGACATGCAGACTTAAAAAGTTTCTTGTTGCCACTTCCAACAGTTTACCTCTCCACGTTTCCTCGCCACTATGCGGTTCCTTGTTTTCCCAGTCTATCCTTCTGTGATTGAAGTCCCCCAATGATGAGCAGATGGGATTGATTTCTGCAGGCAGCAGCGACTGCTCTCTCAATTATAGTGTTAACTGCCACGTTGTTTCTGTCATACTCTTGGCATGGTCTTCTGTCATTTGGTGGAGGGTTATATATATATATATATATATATATATATATATATATATATATATATATATATATATATATATATATATATATATATATATATATATATATATATATATACATATATATATATATATATTATATATATATATATATATATATATATATATATATATATATATATATATATATATATACCACTGCAACTACTACTCTTGGTCCTCCCATTGTCGTGGTGTTTGTTATGAAGTCTCTGAATCCCTCACAGCCCGGAATTACCATCTCCTTGAAACTCCATTCCTTTCTCATCAGTATGGGTACTCCACCTCCTTCCCTTCCTTCCCTCTCTTTCCTTATTACGGTGTAGTCCTGGAGAAACACCACATTCATTACGATTTCTGGTAGTCTTGTTTCCATGAGTCCAGTACATCTGGGTTCACTTTGTGTGTCATTTCCCGAAGTTCACTTGCATTGCTTGCTATCCCATTTATGTTCAAGTACATTACCTTGAAGCTGACTCTTTTTCTGTACATCCTCAGGTTCTGTTGATTTCACTGGAGTTGGCGGACAACTGGTGTCCGTAAGGAGGGGGGGGGGAGGACTAGAACGGAGGACCTGGGGGATCTGGAGTATGAAGAAGGGGGGGGAGGGATGGTTGAGAGGATCTGGTACAGGGGGACTGGGAGGGCTTGGAGTGGTGTGGCCGAAAGGGGTCTAGTGTTGGGGGGTCAATTAGGGCATGGGATGGGGGAGCAGTTGTGGGAATGTGGTGGAGGGGGAGGGAGGTCATTGGTTGGATAGTGCAGGGAGATCTGTGGTTGGAGAGGAAATTTGTGAGTTGGTTAACAGGGTCTCAGAGGATTCGGGGGGTCAAGGGAATGGGGGGGGGTCAAGGAGGCTATGGGGTAAAGAAGGAGGAGGGGGCTGGGAGGGGATTGGGTGATAGAGGATGGGGGCAAGGAGGGTATGGGGTAAGAGAAGAAAGGGAATGGGAAGGGTAAAGGGTGAGGGGGAATGGGGTACAGGGAGGGTATGGGGTGAGGAAGGGGGGGGGGGGCAGAGAGGGTATTGGGTGAGGGGGGGGGGGAGGAAAGGTTGAATAAGCATTTGAAGGGGGACAGGGAATGTTCAGGTTAAGGGAGGGTTTCCATGAGGAGGAAGATGGGGGGTGTTGTCCTCTCCTCTGGGATTGATGGGGTGCTGGTTTGGAGTTCCCCACTCCCTTCTGGGACTATGAGTTGGGAGCATTGGTGTCCTGATTCTCTCCTCTCCCCCTGCGCTTCCTCCTCGCTTCTGCTGCCATTACTCTCTTTTCCCTCATCATGTCCCTCTGGAGGAATACTTTCCTGTAACCACTCATATAGTACAGATAGCTCTTCCTTGCTATAATTACCTCCTTTGCGATTTCGCTTGTGAACACTATCCTCATCAGGTGATCTCTGTCCTTGTTGTACCAGCCTAGCCTGAAATCCTTCTCTATGCCTTGTCTAGTCTTTTCATCTTAATCCTTGTAGGATCCCTGTTATGGACTCATCACCACCATCTGAGTGTGGCATGACAATTCCAGCGCCATCTATGAGTCTGCACTCAAACTCTCCTGATATTGGCCGCTACGTGGATAACACCATCTATTGGTGGTGGCGTGACAACGGAAAATGACTCTGGTTTCCTGCCTTGGCTAGACAGAGAGGTTGTTGTGGATGACCTCTGGTGAGGTGGTGGATTAAGATCAGCGACACCTAGGTTGTGCTATGAGCATAATATCAACTCACCAGTAAGTAAGTGTTACCTCCTGGTTTCCTCAGTGTACCGTCCTGTTAACTGATGATGTTTCATGTCCACAGAGGTGATGTGTGGGGGAAGTCGTACTGATGAAGACAGTGTACCTTGGGCAGTCCACGTTCTCTCAACATGGTTCTGGAAGACGATTAAGTAAGCCGCCGCCGATCTGAAGCAGTTAGTTAGCTGCTGATTACATAGAGATCGGCGTACCCCGATACTGGCTTATGAGAGAAACAAACGAGAGTGAGGTGCCTGTTGTGAAGGGCTGCTAGCCGGTTGCTAGAGGCTTCTGCCAGGGGTTCACTACCCCTGTATTGGTAGTTTTGTGACCCCGATCAGCATGTGGCTGAAGTCCTCTGCCAGCATGTAGCTGGAGAGCGATAGTGGGATATAGGCATCTCGTGATACTGTGTCAGTGGGCTGGCCCACGTAAAAGGTGAACTCGCCAATGTTTCCCAGTACGAGTGGACGAGGTACTGGGCAGTGGAAACACTGGGGTTGGCGAACACTGCATGTGTGCGCTTTTAGTGTTCTGTGTGAAAGCGACACTACTGTAAATAAGTATAGTAATAGTCTATTATATTTAAGATATTTAATGGTTAAGGTAAATACATTGGTGAAGGGAATAGTGTTTTGTTCATCCTTATTTATTCATTGTAGCATATAGCCAAATCTTGAAAGCGTACAACCGACTTGGGGTCGGATACTACAAACAAGGTTCACACATCAAGAACCCGGTTACTGGTCCATAGTGACCGTAGCAATCCTTCTCACTACCTCATTGTCCTTGCTAATCCATTCAGTCATACTGAAGTCTTCCTGTTCGTCTATTCCCACTACTATCACTGATCTTTTCTTCTCCAGCAGCTGACTAGTGCACCTCGCTACTACCTGTGTGGTAGCTGCTTTATATGGCTACCTCCCTCACTGTCGACATTACTTCAGGACACTTTCTAAGTATTTCAACAAATGATGCTTATACAGTGGCAGTCTCTTCCATTGATACATTTCCACCTTATCTTGGTATGATTATCTGGAGCTGAGCTTGGAGTATTGTTCTCTTTGTATTGTTGTGGGTGTGGTGTGGTGGTAGTGAGGGAGGTGGTGGTGGTACTTGTTGACTGTTGTGGGTGTGGTGTGGTGGTAGTGAGGGAGGTGGTGGTGGTACTTGTTGACTGTTGTGGGTGTGGTGTGGTGGTAGTGAGGGTGGTGGTGGTACTTGTTGACTGTTGTGGGTGTGGTGTGGTGGTAGTGAGGGTGGTGGTGGTGGTGGTGGTGGTACTTGTTGACTGTTGTGGGTGTGGTGTGGTGGTAGTGAGGGTGGTGGTGGTGGTGGTACTTGTTGACTGTTGTGGGTGTGGTGTGGTGGTAGTGAGGGAGGGTGGTGGTGGTGGTACTTGTTGACTGTTGTGGGTGTGGCGTGGTGGTAGTGAGGGTGGTGGTGGTGGTGGTACTTGTTGACTGTTGTGGGTGTGGTGTGGTGGTAGTGAGGGTGGTGGTGGTGGTACTTGTTGACTGTTGTGGGTGTGGCGTGGTGGTAGTGAGGGAAGTGGTGGTGGTGGTACTTGTTGACTGTTGTGGGTGTGGCGTGGTGGTAGTGAGGGAAGTGGTGGTGGTGGTACTTGTTGACTGTTGTGGTTGTCGTGTTGTGGTGGTGGTGGTGGTACTTGTTGACTGTGACATGGGGTGGTGGTAGTAATAGTTGTCAGTGGTCCTGCTGACCATGACTACCAACGTTGTCAGGGTCGTCACCATGACCTACCTGCACCCCCCCCCCCCACTGCCTCAACTGTAGTGAGTCACCGCCACTATCACCATACGTGCACCAGCTGCACACTCTGACTCACTGATTACTCTCTTGTTTTGTTCGTCTCTAAAGTGAGCAATGGGATTGAGTGTGTGTGGGGGGTGGGGGTTGTATTCTTGGTGGGGATAGGGGGGTTGTGATAAGTAGGGGGAAGTTTGTGTCGGGGCTAGGAGAGGGGCTAGGTGGGGACGAATGAGTAGGAGATTGGGCCGGGGTGTACAGAGATATATATACCTGGAGGGACTTGCTTTCCCTCAGCGCGTGACAGGACAGTGCTGAGTGTACACATCGACCTACAAGGTGAGGCTTCCGTTCTCTACTACACACTCTATACTTGTTTTTATTTTGCCACGAGGTGGGCGTTTGTTCTGTCACTCATACCATGAGTGACCTCACCATCAGAGTGACAGTATTAGGCAGCGTCACTCGTCCCCATGAGTGAACTCACCGCCATAGTGACAGCAACCCGTCCTCTTAAAAATAACGTCAATTTTCGCTCGTATGCGCGCTATGGCCAAATTTGGATGTAATTTGAAATGAAATCAACTCACAAAAGTGACGTTCTGTTCTGTTTTCTACTTGAGTCGTCCGGCGTACGCGCAGAGATTATGAGAGGACACTTTAAATTAACGTTTTTCATACCGTTTTGAAACTTTGAGAATTTCCTGCCCACCTAACCTATCAGAGGACCCTTAACTTACTGTTGAAAAAAAATCCCAAATTTATTTTCATTTTTTTTTCATTTTCAAATTACGTCCAAATTCGGCCATACGGGCAAACGGCCAAAAGCGACGTTCTTTTTAAGAGGACAGGTTGAGCGTCACTCGTCCCATGAGTGAACTCACCGCCATAATGTCAGTGTTTTTTTCTTTATTATAAAAAACTACATATATATACAATAAAAGTAAGTTACTTTAGAACATTGCCGTACACGACCACCACCCGACACAGGGAGATACAGTGCTCCAATCTAAGATTCAAACATGCACCATACCAATACATAACAAATATATTTATATACATACACACACACAACGATAATACAATACACCCGTACCCACGGCAAGGCGCAAAATCGCGCCCATAATTACACCCACCACACAAGTGGAACACAGATAATGTACCGCAAAATCAGAGCTCTAAAACCACATAACAGTGCATGCATTAAACATAAGACTTAATAACATCCACAATGGACCTCAACAAACGGAGGCCGTTATTACCCACCAAAATGAATAATAAATACAAGAAACAACCCAACATAATAAGTCCTTATAAGGGAAATCCTACAGAGAGCATACAATTCCCCAAGGGAATCAAGACAATACAACTGACCACAGTCAGAGGAAAGGGGGCGCACACACCACCGGCAGCAACATCCCCCTCAAGGGGGCATTACTTCAGTTTCGGAAAAGTTGTTCAATGTCAACCAATATTTTTGACTAGTTGTATATGAAAAGGGCTGCAATTGTGCCAAGTTTCAGTACTGCAGCGTAAATAGAAAGGGAGATATATTTTGTATAGATATATATAGAAAAGAAATATATAGGCCTTATATAGAAAAGGGGCAAGACCGGACTGTTGAGGGGGGGGGGGGACATATTGCAATTCTCATCGCAAAGTTGGACACCACCCAGCAGCACGACAAGCAAGGGCGGACATCCAACTCAAGGCCCAAGTAACAAGCTTTACACAATAAAAACTACATACAGCCAAAGCTCACACAAACATCCAAAAAATAGCAAGAATATGGAAACTTACAATCATTAGAGGGTGAGGACCCAGGTCTATCCCACTTGACTATATTAGGCAGCGTCACTCGTCCCATGAGTGAGCTCACCGCCATACTGACAGTATTAGGCAGCGTCACTCGTCCCATGAGTGAACTCACCGCCATAGTGACAGTATTAGGCAGCGTCACTCGTCCCATGAGTGAGCTCACCGCCATAGTGACAGTATTAGGCAGCGTCACTCGTCCCATGAGTGAACTCACCGCCATAGTGACAGTATTAGGCAGCGTCACTCGTCCCATGAGTGAACTCACCGCCATAGTGACAGTATTAGGCAGCGTCACTCGTCCCATGAGTGAGCTCACCGCCATACTGACAGTATTAGGCAGCGTCACTCGTCCCATGAGTGAACTCACCGCCATAGTGACAGTATTAGGCAGCGTCACTCGTCCCATGAGTGAGCTCACCGCCATAGTGACAGTATTAGGCAGCGTCACTCGTCTCATGAGTGAACTCACCGCCATAGTGACAGTATTAGGCAGCGTCACTTGTCCCATGAGTGAGCTCACCGCCATAGTGACAGTATTAGGCAGCGTCACTCATCCCATGAGTGAGCTCACCGCCATAGTGACAGTATTAGGCAGCGTCACTCGTCCCATGAGTGAACTCACCGCCATAGTGACAGTATTAGGCAGCGTCACTCGTCCCATGAGTGAACTCACCGCCATAGTGACAGTATTAGGCAGCGTCACTCGTCCCATGAGTGAGCTCACCGCCATAGTGACAGTATTAGGCAGCGTCACTCGTCCCATGAGTGAACTCACCGCCATAGTGACAGTATTAGGCAGCGTCACTTGTCCCATGAGTGAGCTCACCGCCATAGTGACAGTATTAGGCAGCGTCACTCGTCCCATGAGTGAGCTCACCGCCATAGTGACAGTATTAGGCAGCGTCACTCGTCCCATGAGTGAACTCACCGCCATAGTGACAGTATTAGACAGCGTCACTCGTCCCATGAGTGAGCTCACCGCCATAGTGACAGTATTAGGCAGCGTCACTCGTCCCATGAGTGAGCTCACCGCCATAGTGACAGTATTAGGCAGCGTCACTCGTCCCATCGAAATATACAGTAAACATTTCCTCTTTGTTTCAAAATAGTGGATGAAAATTTTCATTGATTAGTGCGCTATTCCACTTCATTTTCATTTATAATCGAATCAATGTACGCAAATTTTAAGCTAATTATTTACACAGGAAAAAGTCACGACAATAACATAAAACAGAATTGCAGCAATGTTATGCTGTATATTTTGTCTTTTGACTCGAAAGCCTCATTCTTCAGTGATTTATGAAAGTCGATACAATTGTGGCTGGGTGAACAGGTGTAATATTGTAGTTATAGTGAACAGGTATACAGCTGAGGCTGGATTGAACAGGTGTACACTTGTGACGGGCGTGAACAAAAGAACATTATGGCTGGAGTGAACAGGTATACATCTGGGGCTAGAGAGAACATGTGTGCAGCTGAGAGTGGAGAGAATATTTATATAGTTGTACCTGGAGTGAATCGGTGTACAGTTGATGATGACGTGAACAGGTGTACAGTAGTGGCTGGAGAGAACAAGTGTACAGGAGTGAACCGGTGTACAGCGAGGATGGAGTGAACAGGTGTACAATTGTGGCTACAGTGAACATGTGTGCAACTGTGGCTGGATTGAACAGGTGTGCAGTTGTTACTTTAGTGAACAGGTGTACAGCCTGTACCGGCAGTGAAAGGTATATGGTATACAGTTATTGATGCAGTGAACAGGTGTACAGTTGTTGCTTTAGTGAACAGGTGTACAGTTGTTGCTTTAGTGAACAGGTGTATAACCTGTACCGGCAGTGAACAGGTATACAGTTGTTGATGGAGTGAACATATGTACAGTTGATGCTGGAGTAAACAGGTGTACAGTTGTAGCTGGAATGAACAAGGTGTTAAGCTGAGGCTGGAGTGAACACGTTTACAGTTGTAGCTGGAGTGAGCAGGTGTACAGCTTTGGCTGGAGTTAACTCCAGCCGCAACTGTACACTTGTTAACAGGTGTACAGTTGCGGCTGGAGTGAGCAGGTGTACAGTTGTTGTTGGAGTGAGTAGGTGTACAGTTGTGGCTGGAGTGAGCAGGTGTACAGTTGTGGCTGGAGTGAGTTGATGTACAGTTGTGGCTGGAGTGAGCAGGTGTACAAATCCACAAGGGCAGTGACGAGGATTCGAACCTGCGTCTGGGTGCACATCAGACACTGCCTTAAAAGGTACAACTGTACACTGCAGGTGTACAGTTGTGGCTGGAGTGAGCAGGTGTACAGTTGTGGCTGGAGTGTGCAGGTGTACAGTTGTGGCTGGAGTGTGCAGGTGTACAGTTGTGGCTGGAGTGTGCAGGTGTACAGTTGTGGCTGGAGTGTGCAGGTGTACAGTTGTGGCTGGAGTAAGCAGGTGTACAGTTGTGGCTGGAGTGTGCAGGTGTACAGTTGTGGCTGGAGTGTGCAGGTGTACAGTTGTGGCTGGAGTGTGCAGGTGTACAGTTGTGGCTGGAGTGTGCAGGTGTACAGTTGTGGCTGGAGTGTGCAGGTGTACAGTTGTGGCTGGAGTGTGCAGGTGTACAGTTGTGGCTGGAGTAAGCAGGTGTACAGTTGTCGCTGGAGTGAGCAGGTGTACAGTTGTGGCTGGAGTAAGCAGATGTACAGTTGTGGCTGGAGTGTGCAGGTGTACAGTTGTGGCTGGAGTGTGCAGGTGTACAGTTGTGGCTGGAGTAAGCAGGTGTACAGTTGTCGCTGGAGTGAACAGGTGTACAGTTGTGGCTGGAGTAAGCAGGTGTACAGTTGTCGCTGGAGTGAGCAGGTGTACAGTTGTGGCTGGAGTAAGCAGGTGTACAGTTGTGGCTGGAGTGAGTTGATGTACAGTTGTGGCTGGAGTGAGCAGGTGTACAAATCCACAAGGGCAGTGACGAGGATTCGAACCTGCGTCTGGGTGCACATCAGACACTGCCTTAAAAGGTACAACTGTACACTGCAGGTGTACAGTTGTGGCTGGAGTGTGCAGGTGTACAGTTGTGGCTGGAGTGTGCAGGTGTACAGTTGTGGCTGGAGTGTGCAGGTGTACAGTTGTGGCTGGAGTGTGCAGGTGTACAGTTGTGGCTGGAGTGTGCAGGTGTACAGTTGTGGCTGGAGTAAGCAGGTGTACAGTTGTCGCTGGAGTGAGCAGGTGTACAGTTGTGACTGGAGTAAGCAGGTGTACAGTTGTGGCTGGAGTGTGCAGGTGTACAGTTGTGGCTGGAGTAAGCAGGTGTACAGTTGTGGCTGGAGTGAGCAGGTGTACAGTTGTGGCTGGAGTAAGCAGGTGTACAGTTGTGGCTGAAGTGTGCAGGTGTACAGTTGTGGCTGGAGTAAGCAGGTGTACAGTTGTGGCTGGAGTAAGCAGGTGTACAGTTGTCGCTGGAGTGAGCAGGTGTACAGTTGTGACTGGAGTAAGCAGGTGTACAGTTGTGGCTGGAGTGTGCAGGTGTACAGTTGTGGCTGAAGTGTGCAGGTGTACAGTTGTGGCTGGAGTAAGCAGGTGTACAGTTGTGGCTGGAGTGAGCAGGTGTACAGTTGTGGCTGGAGTGAGCAGGTGTACAGTTGTGGCTGGAGTAAGCAGGTGTACAGTTGTGGCTGAAGTGTGCAGGTGTACAGTTGTGGCTGGAGTAAGCAGGTGTACAGTTGTGGCTGGAGTAAGCAGGTGTACAGTTGTGGCTGGAGTAAGCAGGTGTACAGTTGTGGCTGGAGTAAGCAGGTGTACAGTTGTGGCTGGAGTAAGCAGGTGTACAGTTGTGGCTGGAGTAAGCAGGTGTACAGTTGTGGCTGGAGTTAACAGATTGTAATGTTCTTACCAGGAAGGAAAACACATGTTACTTTAGTATGGCTTTATTCCATAAAACTAAAATCATCGGAATAGATTCCATGTATCCATTATTCACGGGACTTATTGAACAAAAGAGCAGCAACTCCTAATATATTGAACCTAACCTAGATTCATTATACTTAATGTTACAAAACACCTTCAATCCTTACATTCCTTAATTTTTAAATAAGCTCTACCCACTACAGATCAAGTCTATCAGAGGATCGTATGACTCTCCGTGATTTTCTCTGCTAGAGCTCCAGGCCCGAATCTTCTGGGGAACCTTCTTCTGAATTACTAAGTTCTGAGTTCATAGGGTTAGCTGTATACACATTCCCCTCTGTTGACCTTTGCTCTGCCTCCCTGTCCCCTGCAGGTGATACCTCTTCATTATTAGGTTGGGAATCACTAATTGTCATATCCACACCCGAAGGCCTTTCGACATTTCCCGAAGGTTAGATACTGATTTTCTTTTTAACTGGAACTGTTTTTATTGCTTTCATGTGCACTTTAAGGTGCCTATTAAACAGTTATTCAGAAGGCTGAAATACCTTTGCCTAAATTACAAACATTTCTGGCTTATGCTCATTACACCAATGGTAGCATGAAAAATTTTCTTTGAATATTCAAAAATCTAGAAAGCCTTGTATCAATATTACCCTCCATAAACCGTTGTAACCCTTCTTTTAAGGATTACTGTTCTCTCAGCCAGACCAAGTGAAGAAGGATTATAAGAGGCAGATGTTATATGTTTTATACCATTCTTCCTTCAGATTTCCTTCATTTCACCAGACACAAAATAAGGAGCATTATCTAACACCACCATGTTTGGCAATCCAAAATTACAAAATGTTTTCCTGACCAAGTCACATGTTACAGATGATGCCGTGCAATTACACACGTGAACATCCATATTTTTTTTTTTATATAAATCCAGGATCAACAGGTAATATTTATTACCCTTACCCATGTTTATTACCTGTGTCCCCTAGTGCGTGTGTCCCTTGTGTTAAATAGCCTGTCTTTATCTACCCTATCAATTCATCTGAGAATCTTGTACGTGGTAATCATGTCCCCCTAACTCTTCTGTCTTCCAGCGACGTGAGGTTTAACTCCTGCAGTCTCCCCTCGTAGGTCATACCTCTCAGCTCAGGTACCAGTCTGGTGGTAAACCTTTGAACCTTTCCCAGTTTAGTCATATGCTTGACTAGATATTGACTCCATGCAGGGGCTGCATATTCAAGGATTGGTCTGACATATGTGGTATACAGAGTTCTGTATGATTCTTTACACAAGTTTCGAAAGGCCGTTCGTATGTTGGCCAACCTGGTATATGCTGCTAATATTATCCTCTTGATATGGGCTTCAGGGGACAGGTCTGGCGTGATATCAACTCCCAAGTCTTTCTCTCTCACTCTGACTCTTGAAGAATTTCGTCTCCCAAATGATACCTTGTATTTGGCTTCCTGCTCCCTACACCTATCTTCATTACATTACATTTCCTTGAGTAAAATTCTAACAACCATTTGTTCGACCATTCCTTCAGTTTGTCTAGGTCTTCTTGAAGCCTCAAGCAGTCCTCCTCTGTCTTAATCGTTCTCATAATTTTGGCGTCGTCAGCAAACGTTGAGAGGAATGAGTCTACACCCTCCGGGAGATCGTTTACATATATCAAAAACACGATAGGACCGAGTACAGAGCCCTGTGGGACTCCACTGGTGACTTCATGCCAATCTGAGGTCTCACGCCTCACTGTAACTCTCTGCTGCCTATTGCTTAGGTATTCCCTTACCAACTGGAGCACCTTACCAGTTACTCCTGCCTGTCTCTCCAGCTTTTGTACCAGCCTCTTATGGGGGAATGTGTTAAAGGCGTTCCGACAGTCTAAAAAATACAGTCCGCCCAGCCTTCTCTTTCTTGCTTAATCTTTATCACCATGTCGAAGAATTCTATTAAGCCGGTAGGGCAAGATTTACCCTCCCTGAACCCATGTTGGCGATTTGTCACGAAGTTCCTTCTCTCAAGATATGTTACTAGATTTTATCTCACGACCTTCCCCATCACCTAGAATGGTATACAAGTTCAGGACAATCACATGTAGTTCAGTGCCTCTTGTCTGTCACCCTTTTTGTATATTGGGACCACATTAGCCATCTTCCATATTTCTGGTAGATCTCCCGTTTCCAGTGACCTACTATACACTATGGAGAGTAGCAAGCAGTGCCTCTGCACACTCTTTCAAT